CAACTGCTTTCTTCTGTTAGCAAACTCTTTTTCTTATCAGTAGGATATTTTTTTGTGTGATAGTTGTTGCACAGTGGAATTCTGGAAACAACAGACTTTGAGGAAAATTGTTTCATTTTCCTAATCAATTATGCTTTCTCTATAGCAAATAGACGATCTTCTTTTAATTTTGAATGCCTCCGCCGACAGAGCAGTCAAGATGATATACCACTCTCTCCAAATTTCCACCATCGCACTGCTTTACCACTTCACTTAATGCAACAGCAGGTAAATTCAGGACTTTATTTAACTAATAATGAATTACATCTTTTTATCTTCTATGTTGTACCTTAGACTATCATTTTTACTTGAAACAGTACTAGAGGATTATGCATAGATAAAGTACTTGGTGGTCATTCCTAGTGCATGAAGATGCTACTGAATAATTCAGATGTTTTAATAAGCATAGGCAGTATATGGTAAGTAGAAATAAATCTGTATTCTTTGTCCTATAGCTGAATTTAATTTTTCTGAATCAGAGTATTGTTTCCTGTTTACACAGTATATATGTCTACCTAGTTGATTTAAACTAGGACTTGTGTCATGTGGTCTTGTTAATCGTTTTTCACTATTTTTAATTACTTCATATTCAGTGGAATAGTTTAGTTTCATATGACCAAACAAAATCTTTCTGCAGCACAAGTCTCCTATCCCCTGCTGCAGCCCCAGCCAGAGGTTTTTAAACAATTCAGAATGATAAATAAGTACCTCTTCCTCAGAGACCAAAGAAAGTAAGGTATATAAACTAGTTATAATTAAAAAAAAAAAATACAATTTTATGCTCTCTATTTACTAATTTCAGTTCTGTTCCTCTTTTATTTGACTCTAAACAGCAGAAAATATTAACTTTGCATAGCATCTGCCAGAAGAGTTGTTTGGAGCTAACTGCTGAAATTGGAATTGAATGTGACTCAGTGTCTGAAATCACTGACTTGAAAAATTCTTCCCCATTCCAGGTCATGGCTGTTGCGGGTCTGGATTCCAGTAAAGCTCATAAACATTCACCAAGTCGTTCCACGCGTTCATGGGCTACCCCACCTGCAACCCCTCCCAACAGGGACCGTACCCCATATTATACACCTCTAATCCAAGTCGACAGGGCTGAATCTACAGAACACATGAATGGTAGCCTGCCTTCCTTGCACAGGAGCTCTTGGTACACAGACGACCCTGATATCTCCTACCGAACATTTACACCAGCCAATTTAACAGTACCTAATGACTTTAGGCATAAACACAGTGACAAACAGAGGAGTGCAGACAGTTTGGTAGAAGCGGTAAGTATTACAGAAACCTCTGAAGTCATCAAGACTGTCTGCTTAGCATTTGTGTTAACATTAAAATGCTTATCATTCAATCTACACAATCTCTCTGAGAATGTGGTATTTTCACTTTCAACTGAAACCGATCTCAAGTAAAGATAGGGAAACTTCTCGGTTGCTGTGTTGTAAAGGATCAGTGGAATTCCAAATCACAGCATCAGTGTCAGAGGGCTGAGAGGCAGGCTGTAAGAGACCAGCAGAAGGAAAGTTGGGAACATCAAGGACGGGGTTTAAAATGAACTTTAAGCTTTCTAGCCAATGAGGATCAATTGTGAAATATCCTCTCACAAGAGCTGATGATGCATAGATGTGTTTTCTCTGCTTTGTTTCCATTTATTTGTTTATATTATTTTACATGTATAAATAGCCATTTTTGCAGTAATCTGATCGAACAGGAACTCTATGATAGGTGTGTAATGGCTGCAGAGAGGGTGAACAAAGACAACCGAGATTGATTTGCGGGTGTACTAAAGAATGTTAGAAATTCTTTTGTATTAATAATAATAACATACTGCATTTCTGACTGTGATAGTTACTGTTCTTTTTTCCGTCTATTATTTCCTTCTACTGCTACAAGTTGAACAATATACTTCACTGTTTCCAAATGGGACTACAGCATCCTTCTTCCATGTATTCTAAGATACTTAGAATGTACCTAAAACTCTGTTTCAGCAACTTATCCCAGTTTTCTTGTCTGGGATTTAGTAGCTGCTGTCCTATGTTTATCAGACTCCTCCTAAGTTTCTAACGACAACAACTAGAGGTATTGCATTGTCAGTTACAATACCACATAGCTGATACAGTGCAGTTTGAAGCCGTTTGTTGATTTGTGATTTAGCATGAAGTTTGTAGTATTTTCTACAAATGAAAAATGTTTTAAAAATGTCTGTTCTTCCACAATTCTGCTTTATATCTCATTCTCTCCTCTCCATCTGCCAGGTACTTATATCTGAAGGCCTAGGAAGGTATGCAAAGGACCCTAAATTTGTTTCAGCTACAAAACATGAGATTGCTGATGCTTGCGACATGACTATCGATGAGATGGAAAGTGCGGCAAGTAATCTTCTCAATGGAAACATTAGCAATGGGACCAATGGGGATATGTTCCCCATTTTAAGCAGACAAGATTATGAACTTCAAGAATTTGGTCCTGGCTACAGTGACGAAGAACCAGAACCAGGACGATATGAAGAAGACTTAGCTGATGAAATGATATGCATTACAAGCTTATAGTATTTAGCAAGGGAAATGATTTTAAATAACAGAAAAAGTGCCTCATAGTTTAAAGATGCTAGGCACTAGTTGGGGTTAACCGCTCAAGTTTTGTACAAGTGATGTCACGCCTCAAGGAAGCCATAACTAATAAACAGATTATCTCCGGGTTGCTGAAATGTGATCAGAGCTGCAGCACATCATCTCTTCCCACAGAATCTTCAGTTTCTCTGTAGGAATAAGGTTATTTTGGAAAGAAGCGGGTTCTGACAATCAGTTTTTTGAGGGCTAGAGTGGGATTCTGAGGTGTAATATCTCGCCTGTCCTTCAACTTTGTGCTGCTGTCCTTCATAGTAGAGCGGGATGGTGTCAGTGAAAATGTACAAGTCCAGCACAACACGAGGTGAATGATGACAACCAATAATGTCATTACCTCAGTACTCAAGAGCATATCAGCTATCCATCGCATATCTATTCTAATACTGTTTTCAAACCTGCCTCCCGATTTCTTTTCTTAATGCTCTTCTACAACACGGTTTGTCATGCTCTACCTGTTAGAGATCATTGGAAAAAGAAGTTATATAAAGAATACTCTGTCATATGTAACATCGGTTTACATAGGAAAATATCATTCAGATAGTCTGTTTTATGACTATCACATTAAGGGCAAAATATACTGGAATAATTGCATTCTTACTAATGCACTTGCAACCAGGTTAAAGTAGAATTAGATAAGATAGTTTGCTAAAAATTATATAATAGAAATTATTGTAAATGAATTGTAATATACAATGATTTGTATTTGTAAAGAGATGTTCTATATTTTGTAATTATTGTACCGTAATTGAACTGCAGCAATATTTATGGACCCTAATTATTGTAACTCTCCACAGAATTCTAGATATGAGTATTTTTACTTGGAATATATAGATCTATAGCATAAATATTTAAATAGAGCCACCTCTCATTGTAGATCTTTTTGGGATAAAGTGTCAAGTTTGAACTTGACAACACAGACTTTTTTTTTAACATTACGGTGTCAAATGAATCTCTCTGTGTAAGGGATGCACAGCTGACCATTTGCAGTCTTATACTTGGAAAGGTAAAAGATTTGAAATTATTTTAACATTTTGATTGAAAAGTAAGTTGTAATTTTATTTTTGTATTAATCCCATGCTACTGAAATATTAAAATTATTAAAAAATTGGCAAGTTCATGCCAGGGTACTACTGATCATGGGACAGTTTGTTGTGACAAAGTACATTACCTATGTACCCTACTGTGATAGAAAGCATCTAGGGCAGGAACTATTTCATAGGTAAAGGAAAATGCTTTACTTCAGTGCTGCTTACTTTGCTCAGAAAAAGAAGAAATATGATTACATGATTCTTCACAGAACCAAAAAAAAAAAAAAAAAAGTTATATAAAAAGTGTACTACTTTATTGCCTCTACCTTTCTGTTTTATGTGTACTATTTCAAAGATTTATTTTTATGCAATCAAAAGAGGGCTGAGATATTGTTCATAATGCAGTAAAACCCTGAAATGACTTTGAGGCTCAACAACCTTGGAGGAAAATCAAAAAATACTGAAAGCTACTGTCTATTTTGTTAGCACTGGATAACAATGACTTGTTCTAACAAGTTGCATTATCAGGTTTTACCTGTAACTCATATGCTAGATAGCAATCCAGTTCACATTTTTACAAATGTGATGTTTAAAACATGTCAATAAACATTTTGTACATAATGACAATTTCCTATGAATAGCATACAGACTTCCTCTGGAATCATTCTTATTTCAAATGCCAGGATAAGAACTTAAAGGTTTGTAAATTCTTTCTTGACCTAAATCATTTTGTATTAAAACAAATGCAAAATGTTCTTCAAAATAAAACTGTGTAATAATTTTATTATACTTGGGACTCCTTTTACTAACAGTTTTTCACCAGGAAGCTCCAAAACTGAAATTCTGTTTGTACCTTTTGGAGAATGGGAAGGAACGCATGGAATTTGATAACAGATCTGCAGTGTTATAGAGTGCAAGCTCTTTATGAATAATTGCTGTTAACCAGAAAGGAGAAAAGTGATTAGAGTATTTGTATGAACAAGGCTGTATTCCTGCTGTACACTCTGAGGGATTAATGCTCCCAGAGGTGTGGATCTATGGAAGCAATCAAGCAAATCTGACTTAACATTGCTTAAGAAGGGAAATTTGTTGTGCCTGTCTGTCACTTGGGTGTGTTACCCACTGTAGTCGTTTTGTTACTCATCTTAACTTACAGGAGCAAAGTTTCTGATACCAAAATAAAGCTTTCAGATCTGATTTCACAGAAATAGCAGTCAGAAGTTTTCACAGCTCCACCTCATTTAAAACAAAAAAAAATAAAAAAAACAAAAACGCCTTTAAGGAAGCTGGAGATGAAACATTTACAACAAAAACAAAAAACCAAAAACCAAAACACCAGGTTGCTTAATTGCATGGACTTTTCTCATAGCACATCTAATGTAGCAGATTGCACTGAACAAGACTTTTTAAATTAAGCATATGTCTGAACAGACAGAAAAAGATATGCTGACTTCACTGTATTTTGTTGCTAGTAGAATAGTTAGTCCTCAGTTTCGAATGGTCTGATGAGAAAGACGCTCTTTGGGGCAGATATAATATTTTATGAGGAAATAGTCCTTATAAACAGTGGAGGAAATTCAGCTACAAGCCATGTTCTACATAATTAATGGTTTAACTATAGATAGAATAACTGTTCAATTTTATCGCAGAACCGTAAGGAAAAAAAAGATTAACCCATATATGTATGACTTCATGGTAACTGGCAGCCTTAGAATGACTCACAGAATTGTAGTCATCACTCCATTAAAAGAAATGAAAGTAATCTCAACAATTAATGCATTTATAATGATTTCCCAGATATGTTTACATATGAACACAGTGACAGAAAGCATTATGGTTGTCCATTAGCAAGGAGTTAAATACAGCTACGAGAAGTTATATTCACTTAAAAATTGTACATATAAAATATATTCATATTTGAAGATTATCCTTTTTTTGGAGGTTGGATGACAAACAATATAGACTAAAAGAACACTGCAGTGGGATGCTTGTGTTGTATCAAAGTAACTTTTGAACTATTAATAAGATGAACAAATGCTTTTATTTTTTTCCCAACAATCCATGTCATGTAACTATTATTTTAATAAGATGTATAAATACTTCAATATGTTTCTGTTACAGAAAATGTCTGTTATAAGCCCACTATTTACTTTCCCAGTTGCCTTACTTAGTTATGGAGTAATTGAAATCATACACTTGAAAAGTATTTTAAAGTATTTTAAGCTGGAGAAACATCAGAAGTTCTGGTGCACAAAAACTTGAGTGTCCTTAAATGAAACAAAATGCAGTTTTACAAATACTGCTATTTTCTGCTGCTTTTAACAGCATTTCTCATACTAAAACAATTTGAACTGAGATTCATGTACAGAAATAAATGGGTTTGGTCACTTTTCTTTCTTAATCTTATTGTCCCCAGCCAGAGACATCCAGCTGTCTCCAAAGCACCCACAAGTTGTTCCCATGGAAATGCTGGTGCTGGCACTCACAGTACCATTGCTGGTTGAAGCCAGGCTGGCAGGTCCAAGAACTTCCTTACATCAAAAACAATTCTTACATCAAAAAACTTTTACAGTGAACTCTTCTTGAATACATAATGTACTATCATCTACTTATCTATAGAAAAAATATCTGAATAGAAATGGAAATAATATTTGTTTAACCACCATATTGTTTTGTTAAATAATGTCCTGTGATCTGCATCATTCAGTAAGGTGTGTAGATGGCTGATGTTTGACTTGCAGGCTCCCAGTGCTTCACAGAACGCATTTGAACATTTTGTATCTGTTCTAAGTACCCTTAGCAGACTGAACTCTGCTAGGAGTAAGAAGAATTTTAACAGAAATTCAATCCCAGCAGACAGATAAAATGCAGGAGAATCTAATGGCTGCTTGATGCTACCTAAAAAGATTATCCCAGGACAACAACATTTTTAAATACCTGAAGAATTTCCTTAGGACTACATCAAAGGAAATGCATGAAGGAGCCATGAAGTTCTGTAGCAGTGAGGTCTAAATTAATAAGGCAACTTCAGCTGCACAGCAATGAAAAAAATCTTGCAAGGACTGTATGTTTAGAACTGTGAGAAAAGATGGTGGTTCAGAACAAATGCCTGATTGTCTGATTACACAATGCAGCGAAGCGTACCTTGATTGTTGAAAGCAGCAAGACACATGAATGTAAGATGCATGCAATTTTATATGTTTATCTAACCTCACTATTTCCTAATCTCTCAGAACTTGAAATAATGGCAGATGACAGCTCTGTGTGTTCAAGCAATAAGTTATGTAATATAGCAACTAGTTAATCCTCCGCAGTTGCATAATAACAATTCCCATGCTGCATGTCTAGATTGCAAACCCATGTTGTGAATCTGCAAATGCAGGAACTTCACTGTTACATCTTTCCAAATTGCTTCCTCTCTCAAGTGTACAGGACTGCAGTGATTCTCATCACTGGTATTATTCTAAGCATCCTTAATAGTTCATATTCTAAATGACACTAAGATACAGTGAGTCTCTTTAAATGAAGATCTCAGAAGAATAGCTGCTGAATAAAAGCTATTAGTTGCTATAAAAGTGGTACATTATACATTATTCATGCTCTCCCTAAAGGCACAATTGTGTCAGGTAAATTGTCTTACTAATACAGCCAATCAATCACCTCTGACTTAAAATATTCTTTTTGTTCCCCACACTCCAGGCAAATATACATCGTACACAGAAAGGGTTTACCTGTTTCCTTTGGGAGTGACGTTCACTTCTATCCCTTTCCATCTTCAAAAGTTTTATTTACTCTTTATACTCTGATCAATTAAGTCCTTTCTCTCAGCTAGCAGCAGGGCTTCCAACCATTACTTTGCAGCAGCACTAGGTAGAAAAATCTGCCCTAAACATCTGCAGTTGTCCCTCTAGCCAACATCTGAGTCAGCAGCTTTTTTGTAATTTTTCTTTTTTTCAATTTGCTCAAATGGTATAAAATTCTACTTTTCCTGGGAAAAAAAAAGCATATTCTGTTCACAGGAAGTGCTGACCAATCTGAAGGTACAGAAGCATTTGCTTTACAATTCAGCAGTTACTTAGTCTGAAGTTAGCTTGGAATACTTAACAAATCCATCAAATTGAATGAATTTGGTTCCAGTTAATGAATTCCATTTCTTTAGGTGTATTATTTTTGTTTGTTTTTCAGTTCAGCACCGGTAAGTTAGACACACACAGAAACAGCCATGAAGATCATGTATTTGTTTGACATATCTGAAGATAGTAAACAAAGATTTAAGTCCTAAGTGAAGTACAGCATTGGTTTGCTGAGTAAGTTGTTTGCCTTTGAATTAAAAAAGATCTCATATCACTGATATCTTATTTAATGTAGTTATTTTGAGTGAACTTCCATTTTAAAGCTACCTCAGCTATAAATATTTTTAATGATTGTTGATTGATAGTTGGGCACTGTTGAGTATATTTGCATGCACTCATCTTTGAGCAAAGATCATTAAGTATGGAAATTATGGGGCGTGTGGATCCCTTCCTATGGTACAAGATAAAGCAGCACAACTAAATTTTTTTGATAAATGTATTTTATGTCTTTTTTTCTAAGAGTCCTAAGTATGGTAAAGTCCAACTTCTAGTAAAGGTTTGTAAATTATGCATTCTTCCCATAAAAAAACACACCTTACAAATTCTGGACATGTTAAGTGTTTCTTCTATGAATTCTGATACTACTACTTTGGCCTGTAAATACATAAATGCTTGCATTTACTTTGCAGAACATGGGAATTACTGAGTAGCTGTAACCCTGGGTAATAATATCAAAACAGTTAAAATTCTTCCTTTAAATAATAAGACATATCATAAAGACTTTCAGAATAACACACACTGATCTCTTCCTGTCCAACTAAAATAAACGGCTTGAGCCAACTGATTAAAATATATATATCTAATCTTATACAACAGAATGGACCACATTAGTAGCTGCTTTATTGTGATGTGTATTTTTCTACGGCATTTATTTTGTTGGCCCTTCCAATTGAGATACAAACACAGAGATAAAAAATAATTGGCTAAAATGTGAAAGAATGACAAGAATGTTTATCGTTGTTTTTCCAAGGTCTTGGGCTTATATACAGGAACGTTTTTCTCCTGAAGTGAGGGGAGTCCCTTAATTATATCTGCAGCTTTCTCTGCTATCATAATAGTAGGGGCATTCAAATTCCCACTGACTATACTGGGCATTATTGAGGCATCTACTACTCTCAAATTTTCAACACCAATCACTTTTGTTTGGGGATCAACTACAGCAGTGCTATCTGAAGGCTGACCCATTTTACAAGTGCAAGAAGGATGATAAGCACTGTCAGACTTCTGTCTTATGAAGGCATCTATTTCTTTGTCAGACTGAACATTGTTTCCTGGTTGAATTTCAGGTCCACGAAATTTTTCAAAAGCTTTCTGAGCAAAGATTTCTCTGGTCAACTTGACACACTGGCGGAATTCCCAAATATCTCTTTCTGCGTGGAGAGAAAATAAGATGGCTCTAAGTACACTCTAACATAGTAGGAAAAAAAAGAAAAAAGAAAAAAAAAAAAAAAAAGAAAGAAAGAAAATAGCAGAAAAGAGAGAAGGGTATAGGGGAAGTCTCTCTTATTGCTGAAAGCCAAAGTACAACATTTTGAATAAATCTCATAGATTTATACTCAATGAGTGCAAAATAGCTACATATATTGCATGCTCTCACAAGGGAATAGGTGAGCTATGAAAAGTTGCTCTTTATTTTGCTATACTCACTCTCTCTGACTGCATTCAGAGCAAGAATTTCTTAGTATCTGCCCAGTATTTTGGACAGTGGCCTCTTTGATACAATCTGACAATGCACCAACCTTCACTTCTGAACTGATTTCAAGTAGATGTGAAAATCTGCTACTGTATCAGGCAGGAAATAAGTTGTCATCAGAGGGTGGAGAAGCTGCTTTTACCTTCCGACATGTAGTTAGGCTCAATGATAGGATGGTCCTTTGGGTCTGCACTCTTCAGCTTTAGCCAGCCAACACTTGCACTCCTCATGGGTCCTACATGAACCTGCAAACCCATGCTATACTCATGACAAAATCCCACCAGACATATTTCCAAATTTAGAACATTCTATTTCTTTTTCAATTTGGACAGACTTTGCAAATTAAATATGATATTTCGTAAGAAAGAGAGAATGTGCCTGTCTTTTCAACTTACAACTGTTTTTTTCCAATTTAAAGTACAATCACTTTCGCAGTAGCACAGCACTCTAGTGCAATCAGATCAAATTACTATAACCACTGAAGAGATCAGTAAGAAGATGATGTATATTCAGGAACAGTTCCTTACCATTAGCACAGACTTTTGAATCAGAATGACATTTTAAAAAGAAGGTTGGATTTGTGCCAATAAATAAATGGATAGCTTCATATATTTTAGCCTACACCTCTGCCTAAACTGCAGGGGAACGGAGAACACCTTGGTTTAGTTTTGTCCATCTAGCACAACAGTGTCCTAATGAACAGTACTATGGCACTTCAACAGTGCAATTACTTAAACACATTTACAGAATAAAAAAGCAGCATAATTTTAGTAGCAATATCAAATAATTATCATTTACTTTTTTTTTTCCCCAATGTAGGTTTAGCCAGGTATTTCATAGCGTAAAGCCACATCACAATGAGCACACTAAAAGATCAATCTACTTCCTATAGGGACTATAGAACATTACTGCAATAGGTTCTTAAAAAACTCACCTGGTAAGCTTCCATCGTGGAAGCAACCCGACCATGATCAATCACCTGAGAAGGGAGAAAGTGGAACTGAATGTCGGGGTGAGGAACTCCTGGTTGACTTCGGATAAACCCACCAGATTCTAAGTGGGCAGTGGCTCCCTCACCTAGGGTATGAAAATGAGCAATAAAATGCCATTACAAGACCTCAGAAAAGCAAGAAACCCATTTCTTTTTAACTTGTTTTACTATAGATAGCATATTGGTTGCTCCAAAAGTAACGCCTCCTGTTTATTTCAATAGAAACTACAATGGATACAAAAGGTGCAGTAACAATACTTGATTGAGCAAATTTTCAGATACAAAACACTTTTTTTTTTTTTTTTCCAATATGTAGTCACCACCATTAGCAATACTTTTTCACCACTGATGAACAAGACCCTGCATGCCATGCTTGTAAAAATCTGCACCAGCAGAGATGACCCATTGTTTCACAAGTACTATGATTGTATAATTGCTAGGAAAGTGTTGCCCATGCAGCCCATCTTTCATCAGCCTGAATAGATGGAAATCAGAAGGTGCCAAATCTGGGTTATATGGCTAGTGTGGTAGGACAGTCCAGTCAAAATGCGTGATGTGCTCCACTGTCATCAAACTGGTGTGGGGCCTGGCATTACTGTGTTGCAAGAGAAAGTTGTCTTCTTCTTTGGCCTGACTCTGGAAGTTCAAGTCTTCAGCTTATCCAACATCATGATCTAGTAGTCAGACATGGTTTGTTCCAGGAAATCCATAAATATCATCCAAAATACACTGCACATAACTTTACCCACTAAGAGCTGCATCCTGAATTTTTTATTCAATGGGGAATTCACATGTTGCCACTTCATGGACTGTTGTTTGAACTCCACCTCATAGTGGTGACACAGCATCTTGTCACTGGTACTGATGTGATCCAGGAAACTGTTACCTTAAGCCATGTATTGTTTCAGTGGGATCTGGCAAAACTGCATGTGTGAACATTCATGGGAACTTTATGACATTCCAGTATTGCCACCATTGTTTTCAATGCTTTGGAGTCAATATTCAGCTCTGTACACAGATCCCTGGTCGAAATCCAGATGAGCTGGTTGAGGTGCTCTTTATTTCATAGTGGGAACTGAGCATGGTCATCCAGAACGTCTTATCTTTCACATTGTTGTTGCCACTAAATGCACCACATACCACCTCACTGTGCTAACATCCACTGTTCAGTCTCTGTAAACATTCAGCAAGCATTCATGAAAGCCCTAAGTGCCATTTTTTCCACATAGAGGAATTCAATTACGTGTTTGCTTTCTTTCATTTTGTTAGACTGGCCCCTCTGCTGCCATCTGTCACACAGCAACAAAATGTCACATGATATTGGTGGGAAGGTTCAACATCTACTGCCATACCATCAATCTGCCTCTGACATCACCATAAAATAGGAGGCATTACTTTCAGAGCAGCCCTCACAATTCATACATACAGTGAAAATTGCAAAGAATACAAACATTTCAGGAACAGCTTGCAGTGGAAACAGTATGTATCACTTTCACCTGCTTCTTTATCACTAGGTAAATGTAATTCTCCATAACTTTGGAAATTCCAATTATTTGATGTGAGATGTTGCAGTTACCACAGTATAACTGACAGAAGCACTGCCTACAGTTTAACTGCAGAGACAGATTCAGTACTGGGACTCTGCCAGAGGTGGAGGGAACCAACTACAGCATCCTGATATCATTGCACTGCATGCTTCAAGAGAAGAAGCATGGCTATCCCATCAGTCACATGTAATAGGCAAAGACATCCACAGTGCCTACCCTGAAGGGGAAAGATGAAGAGAATACTATTTCCCTCATATTATGTTATTTTCAGATCCTTTTAAAACCATGATTCATCCCTCCGTGACCATTACTTCCATGGTAAATGCCACACATACACAGCATAAGTCATCACCTTGGGCCAGCTACTGACATAATGATTCAGCAAGAGATGAAGGATTTGAGTTGGCCAAACTATTTTAATGATTTCAAGGATTACTTTGATAGATTCTTTTTAAAAGCTGGATTATTATACCACAAAGCTGGATTATTATAAAGTGAGAGTGCCATTTTTAACAGAAGTTATTCTGAAGGATTCTGCCTGGAGCAACAAAATAATTCTTTTGTGACAAGAATTAGGAAAAATAATTCAGTTCACAGCACATTTTTATCTAAGCAACATCTATTTTTCAACAAAGCTTTTCTCAGTGCCACCAAGATTTAAAAGTTTATTTTCTTAATGGAGATCCAAGTGTGTTAAATAACGCTGTATAAAAACCTCACTTGATATCTAAAACATAATAACTAATAACTACTTTAAAATACTTTGATTTATATAAAAAAAGTAATCTTTCAGGTCCTTTGCAAACTCCAGTTAGTTTAAAAGATATGAAATAATTTTATATGAAGGATCCCAGATTTCAAAATTCACAGATAAAAACCTTTAATAATTCTAAAGCGTCAGTGGTAGAATTGCATACTTGGTTTCATACCTGTATACTTCCAAAGCCATTCTAGACCAATCCTCACCATGTTAACTGGCTTTTGTGCACTATACAGAGTAATAGGCTTCGTGCACTTGTGCTGGACGTACACTTCTAAATGATCTTGAAGGTTCTGGCCTACTCCTGATTAAAGGATTTATAAGGGGGCAGGAAGGAGAAGAAAGGAAAAAGAAAACAAAGTTATTTCACATAGAACAATTATAACAATTATACTCAAAATTTGCTACTATAAAACAGCATAAATGGAAACTGACCCAACCTCTTACAAGGGCAATGATGACTAGTACCAAGACTACGTGTCATATCATCAGCCCTTTGCTCATGTCATAATCAGGTTTTAAATAAACGTAGCATAACTAGAACAAAAATAGTAAGTTGAACAGCAGACATATCATTTGTTCTAAAATTGCCAGATCTGACTGCTGAGTAGAGTATTAGATTTTCTAGTTTAAAGAAGTTCATGTTGTTCTTTCCATATTTTAATATATAAGACAGTGAGAGTTGATACAATCTCTTGTGGATCAAAACCCCTTGTCCAAAATTCTAAATTGTAAGAAGGCAGCTTTATTTTAAAGCCACTTAGTAGCATTTTTCAGAAGGGCATTTTCCACTATCAAACAGTGGAGAAAGTGTAGGGGGGCACTGCTCAGTTCCAAAATCAATGCATGTTTCCACTGATTTGTAACGCTGTTGATTTCAATCCATATTACCTGCCATAAAGACAACCAAAATTAATAAGTTGGTTCAATTTAATAGACTTTGATTTGAATCCTTAGGAAAATACAAGGTTGAAAGAAATAATAACTTTACCAGGAAGGTGGCATACAACAGGGATCCCCAGTTTTTTTAAATCATCTGCATTGCCAATCCCAGACAACATAAGTAGCTGTGGAGAATTTATGGCACCTCCACTTAAAATAACTTCTTTACTGGCAAAAGCCTAAAATGAAATGAGCAGATAAGTCCTAATGTTATTAAGCTTTATCTAAATGCAAGTGAGCTTCAACTCAGATACAATTCTGACTGATATTAGACACCTATCCCTCACATTTTTCTTATTCTAAATGTATTACTATATTGCTAGAAGTTTCTTTAAGGAGAAATGATCAAGCTTTCAATATGAGCAGACAAGCTGTGACTTGATATTATGCAAGAGCGTCGTGTAATGTTTCAAGCTGAAACCTACACTTATATTATCTGTAAACTGGAGTGTGATGAAATGCTGGTATTTCAGAAAAACAGTTCTGAAAATACTGTTATCTCTAAATAAATACAACTGAAGTATCACCTACTGTAAATAACTCACAAAATCATGCACTGGAAGCTGACATTTTACAGAGTAAAGCATCACTTCTATTACATACCAACTTGTTTTATTTATTTATTTATTTGTAAATTTTGCTCTGAATAATGTCTTTCATACTGGAAAATATAAATCTTTTACCTTTTCCCTTTGCCCATTTCTCACATACTCAACACCAATGGATTTTGTTCCTTGAAACAAGATCTTTGTTACAAGTGTCTTCTCAGTAACTGACAAATTGGGGCGTGATATAGCTGGGTGAAGGTAAGCACTAGCTGTGCTCCATCTTTTACCTGCAATATACACTTAAATTTAAAATCAAAATAGTTGTACTAAGTTCTCTTCAAGATTTTCACCAATACCAATACCAGGATGTTTATACAATAAAAGCATTCTTCTGTAGTGTTCAAAGCAATACTATTGGATATATACTAACTAGATATTTTATTTTAACAAACTTCCCAAAGACATTCTGCAAATCTCTCATCCCAAATTTACCTTTAACTCAAGATCTGCATGCTAAAACATTTTAAATGAAATACACTCTAGACTGACAGCAAGCTGCTGTGAAACGTATAGGGGAAATTTAGAGTTTGGTAGCTGTTCATCAACCCAAACAACCAAAAAGCATTCAGTGCAGATTATGTCTGTATTCTAAAATTATTTCAGTATTTCTGGTGGGTCAGAAACACAAATTTCTTAATGAAGCCTTTACAGTTTACCTTGGTGTATAGTCATGTCCATCCAGCCAAATCCTTCTTGTTGATAACCATTCATATCATCTGTGAAGGGATACCCAGCTTGCTGGGTTGCATCCAAGAATGCTTGATGAAGAGGATGGTTTGTTTTCCCCCTTGACACATAAAGAGGTCCTTTTCCACCTCTATACTGATCAGGTCCCAGCTCATGTGTCTGCGCCTTCTTAAAATAGGGCAAGCAATGATCGTAGTCCCATCCTACAGCCCCTTCTCTGCTCCATCGATTATAATCTTCTGCATGCCCACGAATATATACCATTGCATTGAGAGAAGAGGAACCACCCCACACTCTTCCTCGGGGCCAGTACATAATTCTGTTATCCATATGCTTCTGTGAAGTTGTGTGATAATACCAGTTATATTTCTCATCACAGAGGTTATAAGTTAATGCAGCAGGCATATGAATCTTCCACAGTAGTCTTTTACTACCTAAAAGGGTGTCTTTAGGGCCTGCTTCCAAAAGCAGTACGGTATTGTGAGGGTCTTCAGTCAGCCTGTTGGCTAACACACACCCTGCTGATCCAGCTCCAACAATGACATAATTATAAGAGTTTGCCTTTTCAGAACTAAGCTGAGATAATGCACATGAGATTTTTAGTTGTTGCTCCTTGATGCCCCATGTGTTCCTTAATAGGTGGGCTTTAAACAGAGCTCCTGTTACTTTGTGCATCTGATTCACAGGACTGCAATGTTTAACTCCATTGATTAAGTAGGACATCTTAACTAATAACACTTCTCTTGCAGACTTAAAAAAAAATAAATAAATCCAGTGTTTTGCCCTACAAAAAACAAACAAACAAAAAAAGTCCAAATTAAAATGTAATAATTAGTGCAGTGTCTAAAATGTCTATCATTTTCAGGTAAAAATGCTGTACTGTGCTCATTCTCACTATCCAAAAGTTTAACTAAATGCCAATAAGACAACAAACATTTACTCTGAAACTTGCTGTCATTTTTTAATGCACTACTGGCACCATTTGAGTGGCATGCTACTTGGTATTATAAGCAGTCCAATTTTGCTTTCCTTCGGGTTCATGAGATAAATACCTGAAGCACATCTTCAAGTATTTGCCAAAACTGTGAAGGATAGAAACCTCAGCTTCCCTGGTAGTCTCTCTTTATCTGCCTTTAGTGGACAAGAATTTAAGAAAAACAACAATTGCATAAATTCCCCTAAAAATTTATGAGTCGGTAGTATTGCATAGTCAATTTATAACCATGGAAAGGACTCAGCTGGAAATACAGAACTACAGTTTTTGAAGAATGTCTCCTAATGTAGGTAAAGGCAACACTTGTACGTCTGTGGCTTTCTCCCTTGTTACTGAAACCAGATCCTGCAGGAGCACTCTGAATACAACTACAATGTGATACCACCAGGTCCTGATGCTTGGTAGGAATGGCAATTATTTACCTTCAGAAAAGCCTGCCGACCTTGCAAACAACACAGGTTTAGCTGTGTTCTCAGGCAAGATTTTCATAGCTCATTTTTACGTCATAAGTACTGGTACTGCTGGCTAGTTTGAACTGTGTTTCTCTTGCTTTCTCCCTTTGAAACCATTACTCCTGTACAAACAATGAGTAAAAACAGTTAGATATCCTAGGCTTGTAAAAACTAATATTTCCTAGCCTGTGACTCCTAAGGATTTGCTGGAGGTTCTACAGACAGCAACATAGATTTTTGTGAGAGAGACCTCTCAAGTTTGTCAAAGTACAACAAGTCCAGGATCCAAGGCAAAATTAGATGCAGTCTCTAACAAATGATTGTAAGTCTTTCATAAGGAACCACATTTATTTACACTGTAATGTATCATATCAAACACATTTTTTTTCCTTGGGGAAAGCATGGGAGTAAGCACAATCTTTTTCACTAAGAAAGCTTTTAATAGGCTGTACAAATCCTGAAATTTCTAGAACGTGAATGTGAACACACATCTGTGTGTGATAACAGATTAGCCTAGTAGTTCACACACCTGATTCTCACATGGCTAATTCACAGTGGATCCCAACTGAAGGTAGGAGGGCATCTTCTACAGGTGGAGAATATTAAAAGGATTTCTGGAGGGGAAGAGTTTGGTGATTTCTTGTGTTGCAATAGAGAAAGATGGAAAGGTTTTATGTGTTTTGATTTGTTTGTTTATAATGAAGATGGTTACAATTTGAAGAAGACGTGATTGACTTACAGAACTGGCAGGTTGTAGATTTTGTTGTTTCAGGAAAAGCAGATGGCTTACATGGGATTTTACTACACTATGAGCTTAGGCCCTGCTAATCTGGGAAAGATGCTTTGTCCCTACGTAACAAGGTATTTTTCTTTTTTTTTCTTTTCTTTTTATTTCCTATGTGTGATTCATTATGAGGTAATGTTTTGAACTTCTTTCTTGAAGAAGCAGAATTCCTCTGATGTTGATCCTAAAGATGTTTATTAATTAGACAGGAAGAGTTTCCAAGCTCTGGAACAAATATTAGCCTATTGACTTTGGCATAAAATCTATAATGCCATTAAATATTATTGTGCCTCCAAATGAGACTGCTGGCTACCAGCCATGACCTAGTTAGTTGTTGGTGATAAAAGGAGTAAACTGTGCAGAATCCCTGGAATCACATTTAGCTGGAGTTACTCTGTGTCACAGACCTCAGGGTGGTACCCGGAGACTGTAGTTCTATGGTTTGCTACAGCACAAGCAGCAGCTATTGAGCTTCTGAAGATGTTAACTAAAATGACATTCCAAAAGCAACACTGATGTTACAGTACTGTTTCTGTTCTGCCTTGCTCTAGGACACTATTACAGAAGCGTAGACCCTTTAAAAAGCTAATTAGTTGAGAAGCTCTTACATGTGCATGCTTTGAAACTCACAGAGCAATTCAAACTTATATTGAAAGGATTATTGCTTTCTGAAACTAGAATATGATGATACTTTGCTCTCTCGTAATCTGTTCAGCTCTATGTGCATACACAGTTTTATCATTGTTTAAATTCTTTTACAGTCTCAAGCAAATTTGCAGTTTTTCTTTGAACAGAATAAATTTAACCTAGTAAGTTGTTTTTCTAAACTTTCCCTTAGTTTTAACTTGCTCTTTTGAGGGGGAGAATTTACTGCCCATGTCATCTTCCAAAAATCCATTTCAATAAAAGTAGTTTTTGGTTGGTTTCCTCCCCATAACTGTAAAAATCAACTTATCTCAGTAGGTACAACTGTCTGTGACTTGCTGGGTGAGCCATGTATAGAATTTACACAGGATGGAACTTTATGGTCACCTCTATTAAATATTGTGGTGGCTGCTAAAGTAAAACATGTAGAAATAGGAAGATTTAAATAGCTCAATTCTAATGAAATGCTCTGTAGTTACCACCAACAAAACAGTGTCTTTGAGGCCTTACTGGATATTACTGGAACACTTTATCTGGGTTCTTTCATATCATGACTCTTCTGTGCTCATAATAAAAGGTTCCTTATCAGTTGGCAAAGAGCCCTGCAGAAATGCATAAAGCAACATAAAATATATTCATTTATTGCACCAGAGCTTCAAAATTTGAACGCACTTGAAAAAATGGTATCTATTTTACAGGTAAATATTGTTGAAAGACCTTTCAGACAGCATTCTTATGGGAATAAAGAGCAGGAGAAACTCAGCAGGAAGACTTTATTGCTACAATGTAAGCACAGTGCATTTGATCATACACTAGGTAGCTAAAAGCGGGCAGAACTCTTAAGTGATTGGGGCTCCTCATTGGACACATTTCTCAGTTCAGTATTTGGGGTTATGTGTGAAAAGAGATTTTTCTAAAGGATGATCAAGAAGTGACTGTCTCTTTTTTATTTTATTTTTTTTCCTGCAGCTTTTGAAAAAGGAGAGAGGGAGGAAAAAAGAAAAAGAAACTGCATAGGTTGCTTTATGATTAAATCAACTTGCCTTCTTCACAAGAAAGTTGGCAAAACTAGTTGAAGCTTGTCTGGGACCTAACTCCTGGAATTTTAGATTTACAGGACTTTCAGTCCACAACAAAGGGAAGAGGCTCTGTACCTTGCTTGCATAGCAGGGTATATTGAAAAATGGACCGTAACAAAGTGGCTGTAGGTGGATGGAGTGGCTAATCTAGACAAGCTGCATATTTCTGGGTGTTGTTACTATTAATGAATCAGAGATTTCCCATTCTCTGATAAATGTGGAAATAAAACTTGTCAAAGATAAGTACCAAACAGTTGCGATAGCCGCTGTATGAAGTAGGAGGCTGAATTATCAGCCAAGAAATGAATACTCCTTTGACGTTACTAAAGCGGTGACTTGAATCTACTCCATCACATCTATATTTACGTGTTAATTCATGCTTTCCTTTAAGTCATTTCTTTTTTGTTAATGAACTTATTAAATTGGAATAGGAGTAGCTGAGTACCACAGGAGATAATGAGACTCTTGAGAAGAGTGTATAGGAAGAGGTCAGTCAATGGTATTTAAGTGACTCTGAGTATCAGTGTGCAGGTGATACACGATTTTCTGTGCTTTAAAGCTTGAAGGTGCAGAGGTCAAATCTCAAGCCATTTTGTTTCAATGTAAATCCAACGTACTTGGCTGGATATGTACATCAGTATTAATGCACAGTTCTTACACTCATCTGCACGTGGGTCGCCTGCCTGAACTCCAGCTCGTTGCAGACATATTGAAACCACAAGGAAACTCTCACTGGCTGATATTCCACTCCCTCTTCTGTTTTACCAGGGCCAAAACGACTGCGTTCCCTTTGGCGGAGGCAAATATCCCTCGGCTGGAGATGCCCACAGCGCACACGTGGAGCCTGAGAGCAGCGAGGCCTTTGCTGGCCGTCACCCCGCGCGTGAAGGTGCAGGAGGAGCAGCGGACCCCTGAGGTAAAGCGCTGTGAGAAGTTCCCGCAGCTGGGACCGCTCAGGCCGACGCAGTTCGCCCTGCTGCACGCACGAACTTCTCCGCGTGCCCGGGGTCGGCACGGCCGCGCCCTGAGCCCCCAGAGCTCCTTCCCAGCCTCACAGGGAAGGCTGGTGGCGAGACGTGGCACCTCGGGGCCGTGTTTACCACAGAGCCGCCTGTATGGGGGTCCGCCCACCCCCCTCCTTCCTTCCTACCCCGCCGCCGCCCCGCTCCGTCTGCCCCCCTTTCCGGCCCTTCCGCCTCGTGTCTCCCCGGAGGCTCGGTGCCGCTCTGCCCCACTCACGCTGTTCCCGAGGCGGAGGCGGGCCGGGCGCCGTGAAACTCGGAGCCGGATCCCGTCACACGGCCCCGACCCGGCGCAGGGAGGGGGAGCGGCCTGTGCGGGAGGCGGTCTGCAGCTGTCCGCGGGAACTCGAGGCTCTTCGGCCGTCGTGGAAAAAAAGTCTGTCGGGGGAACTCCGCGCTGTTTCGAAACACGACGAGCAGCTGAGGGGCGAAGTCCGCCTCGCGCCCTCGGAAGCTGTAGCGGCACGGGTAAGAGCGAGGTGCGGGGCGGGCGTTTGGAGAGCGGCCGAATCGCACTTAGAAGCGTCGCCGAGCCGCCCGCACAGCCGGCGGGATCGCAGACCTGCTTGTGAGTCTTTCCATGTATCCCGTGGCCTAAAGATGGGAATTCTGCACAGTTCAAATAAGAACGTCATCTCTTACTCCGTGACTGTGCGTTGTAGAGTTTTCCTTGGTTTCTGCGAGGTAGCAAGTTTAGTTTAGCTACTGGCAAAAAGTACTTTTGATAGACTAAATCCTCGCACATCTGAGCACGCAGACACGCCGTTAACTAACACTAAATACTACCGTTTCTAAACCTGTTGGAGCTTTCTGGTATTTTTGTCCCGTAACTTTCCAGGCATCAGTACTTGAACTCATACAGCAGCAGTGTCTCTTTCTAACCAGTGCTTTCAACTTGCCCCCTTCCAAAGCAAACAAACACTGCGAGGTCATGAGCTGCCATCTGCAGGGTGTACGGTGCCATCACAGCTAGAGCAGAAATCCATTTAATCGGTTAGTTATTAAACAGATTAAAGCACCACTCAGCACGGTTGTGGAATCCAAATGTCACTGTCTATAAAAAAGAGAAGTGAATTCTACAATAGTTAGTCTTGGGCTTGGATATTTAATGCTGCTTTATGAGTGTCAAAAGTATGAAGTACTTGAGAAAACACAGAAACAAATATAATTTTCTGCTAAATCATATTACGCTGAAAGTATATTCTCCTAAGTTCTCCTAAACTACCACAGTAGGAAACATACTCTTCCACTGATATCAGATCAACAGAGATGACCAGCAAGCTCTGGAGACAGTGTAAGAACTCTGGTTATTCTCAGCAGTGCTGTACTCCACTGTTACATTATTTCACTTGTATAGATGATATTCTTTGTTTTTAATACAGTTTTTAAACAAAATTCATTTGGTCAGAATGAGTTTAATCAGTGATTATTAATTCTTTTGCATTACCTTTTAGCAAAATTTCTCTTCCAGACATTAGAAATGCTCTCTTCAGTAATTAATTAACTAGAGACAGCTTTTTCAGCTATGCAAGACTTCGTTCAAAGTGACTGTTGTTGTTTTTTTCTTTTTCCCAGAAGTCCTCAGCCAATTCAGATGGAAGATTTTTCTTTTCTTCTTTCTGCTCTGCTTGTGGTTGTATTCATTATTACTGTGGTTGCTGACATTGTTACAGAGGTAAGAATTCTCACTTCTTTTGAACCTCAGTAATTGCTATATTAATTGATGTTTTATATTATATTAAGTGTTTTAATAGTATTAATATACTTTATAGCTGCAAATATTTGCAAGTATCTGAAGCTTGGTTTGAGGCAATGGGAGCCTTTGTTACAGAAGATAAAACAAGAAATAGAACTTCTGTAACAAAGGATTAGTTATAAGGAGAAAAAGCCTCTATGGTTATTGGTGCTGGCTATGTAAAAGAAATCTAGTTCTTCTGGGTGGGACAAAAACACTATTGTGCCCTCATAAAAGAGAAGCTAGAATATGTTTATCGACATAATATAATGTAGTGCTTTAACAGTCACTTAAGATTGGCTGGATACCCTCAATTATTTACTATGCAGAGGGTAGAGTTAAACATAAACATACAGGAGGTCCTCCTGTTGAGCCATGAAGTTCAGAGTGGACCCTTGCTTTCTAATCTCCTTGAACCATGGAGGTAAGGAGCCTAGATGTGGCACTCCTAGTCCCAGGCTTCATCAGTGGTTTATATCTAAGGGATTATTCACAGTCAATTGAATCTTAGTGAAGCTAACAAAGCCTAAAACGATTAAGTCACTTACTGAGGATCTGTATTGGCAAGAGAGCTTGACATCAGGGTGTAAGGGATATATCTCTGTGCAGCTGTAACCTCAAGAGGTGCCCCTGCTCAAGGGGGAGATCCTGTCATGCAGCCAGCTGCTGTGCAGGAAAGCTAAAAGGGGCTCTTGGGCTGCTCACCATTTATGGAGTAAGATGATTGACTCATAGTCATAAATTCCTTTTTAGGTGCATGCTCAATTGGTTTTCAGCTGCTGAACCAGCTGTCTGCTATCAGGCTTATTGTCCTTCTGTGCAAGGCCAGATTGAAGGATGGGGCTGAGGGAAGGAAGGTGAGGGGGCAGAATTGGGGGCACACATTTTATATTCTTATTTTTGAATAGGAAATAGGTAAATACCAAGGATAATGAAAAGCTAATAATTCTTTAATGATAAGAACAAGGAAGAAAAAAAATACTTAGTGGAAAAACATCATTTTCAACTTGAATGATACAATTTATTATAGAAACTACAAAAGCAACTGAAGTTTAAGTTCTTCCTTCTGTGGTTTTCACAATAATGGCTTGTACAATTCCATCTTTTGGTAACAGTAGTATAGGAACTGTAATAAGACATCAATCCCACAGACTTCAGTCTTCACCTACAGCTTCTGTGCATCTACATGCATGTCTGGAACCAATCTTGGCTTAATATCTACCATTTCAGCGTTAGATACCTCATATTCCCACACTGTGCAACTGTAATGTGGGTATATACATATCTCCTACACAATATAAATATAGTGAATCTGGAGCTGAAGGTTGTTTTCTGTACACAGAATTCAATATATACAATTCAGAATTGAGTACAGCAATACTGAAGTAAGATGGACTCTAAGATTTTTGCACTGCTACTGGAAAAATCTCAGTTCAATTTAATTTTATTAAGATAAATATCAGCAGAAGATCAGTACATTTTTCCAGTGCCTTGGAAAAAAACAAAACAAAAATGGTATTTGAGGGAACTGAATTTTTAATGATGTAAACACATCAGTTACCATACAAATGCAGCTCGCTCTCGTAACATTCTGACACCAAAACGCTGCCATTCTCGCTGATATATCCATAGCTCCTGAGTTGTGTCGAGACAGGCCAGGACAGCACCTCCTTTCCATGCAATTAAGCGGGGATCCATATCCTAAATCCAAAAACAGGATTATACACAGTACTAGTCTGATTTTGTACAGTTCTCGAAACTTGCATCCTATTTATTCCAACAGTATTCATCACTTGGAATCTTGGGGGTGAGAGGAAGAGAAAAAACTTTGAAAATTATGTAAGAGAAACTTTTTCATATAGAGGTAAAAATACGGAAAGACTACCTGGGGTTTTTGAGGAAGTCAATTATTTGATTTAAGTATGACTTTTAGGCATGCCCATGAAAATCTTGCCCTCAGCAAGCAGGCTGAAGGCTCTGAAAAATTTGCACACTTGGATTTTTAGAGATTTTGCTTGATTAAAACCAAATTAAAATTGCTTATTTATGCCATGCTTTATTTTACATTGATAATCAAAAACCAAACCAGAACAAAAAAACAGTTTTTCAGCAAGGAATTGTGTTAACTTCAGGGGATCCCCACTGATTCTTTGGAAATACGGTCTTTACATTCATGATCAATATCAGTAATGGTCTTGCTTTACCTCTAATTACCTAAATCTCCCCAGAAATACAACTAATCTGTGGTTTTGAGAGAATATATTTTTATATAATCTTTTGAAGAACTCAATTATAGCTGATTAACCATTTAGCTATCAGTTAATGGGTATACCTTAGGTCTTGTGATGACTTCAACGTTTTCAACTACTCTTCTAAAAGAAGGGGGCATTTTGTTGAGAATTCGGTGCTGAAGGAACTCTTGAGCTTTATGAAACATAAGGCCTCCTCCCACCACTAAGATGGAGCTGTACATCTTCTTTTTTGTATCATCAGATGCTGGAATGAATGGATGCATATAGAAATACATATTTTTAGTAGTTAGTGCTTCTATTATAAAGAACTTAGTGCAAGTCAAATCAAATAGAAACTGAGAACTGCTTGTTTCTAAAACTTTTCTGCTTCTTGGAGCTTCAAAAACAAGCTCAAGAAATCTAAAAATAAGTCGTAACAAGGAATAGTGCAGGTACCTCTAGAACTGGTAAAATTAAGGGATATACATATTACTTTCCTAGAATATAGTAGTTAACATAAATCCACACTGACAAGCATATTTCCCAGAATCATAACAATGTAATCCTTACCACAGCAATCAATACTATGAAGAATGGCTTTGTCAAGGCCCAAAGCTTTGCCTTCAAATTGAGAAACAGCTGTTTTTCTGGACATGTGTGTAGTTAAAGGTTCCTCTGAATCATTTCCAGATATCATACAGTCACTTTGGGAGGATCCCAGTTCAACTTCTTGGGGATACATCCTCTCTGAAATATCTGTAACTTGGCCTCTCGCATCTCCCTCAAAGGTACCAGGCTTTGACATGGATTTTCTATCAGCTGTAGCTTTTGAAGACTTAAAGATAAGGAAATAAGTTAACTGTTAAACTATGAAAAATAGAAGAAGATCATCAGCAGATTACAGAACAGTACAATGACTAAACATCACCTCTTTACCCTCTGCATTACCTTTTTGCACAGAAAGGCTAAACATTACATTACTACTTCGTATCAATTTTATTTTGTTTCCCTCTTTTAAAGAGAGGGTTTTACTTTCAAATCAATCAGATGTATTAATGCCATTAATATGAAGATACTTCAGACTGAAAATACAGTTTAGATTAAGATCTTTTCTAGACACCTATAATTCCTTAGACTACTTCTTTTGTGCTGTTGACCCAGATAACAAACTTCAGTCTCTGAGATGAGGTATGCGTCCTTATTTTATTCCTGAATTAAATAATACTTTGAGGGGGGAGGAGGGAAGGGGAACAAAACAAGCCTTCACACACCTGCTCCTGCTTACTTTGTGTGGCTAGCAGATAATGTTCATCATGAGGATCTTCAGGGTCCCCTTGTGACCTGTGTTGCAAAGTTGTCATTTTTTGTCCAACAATTCCAAAAGTTGCTGGATAAAATAGAGCCATTGGAGCCTGAAAAAAATAAGAGATTTGGAGTTTCATTATGTATATTTTTACTAATTTGAATTTACTATAGAGAAGAAAAAGCTTGTTCTATCTTAATTTTCTTGCAATTCAAAATATGTCATCTTTTCCAACAGATTCATAAAAATTTTACATGTGTTTTAAAGCTTGTACGTAGACTTCTTCACAGATTCTGGCAAAGTGTCATGTAGAAGTAATTCAAATGTTATTTGTTACAAAATGAAAAACTTGCACAATTCCTTGCAGTTGAAGGATAAGCATCATAACATTCAATTGAAGCAAAAATCAAAGGTTATTAGAAGTGCTGTGCATCTCCTTCTGCTTCATTAGGTGCATTCACACACAATGCAATTCATTTTAATGCATCACCAAGCATGAATATACTACTTGTTCATTTCACAAAAATAACCTGTAATTTTTCATCTCCTAATCGAAACTGGTATAATAGAGCTGGAGAATCTGGATGCCGAATTTGGAACTCGTGGTCTTGCAATCCAGAAATATCCTGCAGCCAAAAAAAAAAATTATTAAAAATAAATATTTTTACATACCTCTATCAGGATGTGTAACTTAAATTCTACATAACTTAAACTGTGGACAATAACAAAAAGTAACAAAACCCTTCAGCCTCTGAATTTCACTTACCTATTCTTTAAGTTCTTTAAAAATCTTTTTATTGTAGCAAGATCTGCCCAAACAACTTTCTACCTGTTTAAGCCTCTATAATGAGAGTTTGTGCAGAAATACAAGACCTTGTGGCAGAGCTTGCAAAACAAGCTGAAAAACAGCAAGTATGCAACTGCTATCAGCTTCTTTCAGTAATATGAACAAATAAATGTCCTTTCTAAGAGCTAGGATCCCTTTCAGTTAGAAGAACAACAAAGTAAGTTTCAAATACCTCAACTCTAAAGCTTCTCCAACTCCTGTCAGCATTCTACTGAATGAAGTATTTGGCTTTCTATGCCCATTAAACCTATTTCCTACAGCTCTCCTATATCATATCTAATAATTAAAAATACATTATTTAGGGCTATTAGTTGATTATTCTATACTAAAAATAGAATACACATGTGCAAACAGAACATTTCAAGTAATAAATCATGCATCTTCTGAACTGTTCCCCATGTTCTGATTATTTTATACACTTAATTTGCAAGCAATTGTAGATTCCCATAGAGTTTCCCCAAAGCAGCATTCTATAGAGGTAAATGGGAGAATACATCAATTTGTCTTCTCACCTGGTCTAGGTGACAAAATGTCTCCTTTAGGTGCTGAAGCAGAAGGCAATCCAACTTATTAGTCAACTGACAGTCTCTGTATGGAAACCCTGCTCGTTGCATAAGCCAGTAAAAGCACCTTGACACATCAGACCCTCCGTATGCAAGGCAGAGCCTAAAGTATAGGAAAGAAAAGGATTATTATTTTCTAAAGTACTGGCCTACTACTGTGGTATACATAGGAATACAAACAATGTTTTAAGTGTACTGTGATAATGCCTTCCAAGCAGTTTGTACAGCACAGTATCAGTTCCACTGCTTTCTTCTTTTAGACATGTCATTTCTTTAAGGCTCATATTGTAAGATAATGATCCTGTTGAACAGCTCATAATAAAAATGAAATCCCCAACTCTGTAGATGTAAAAGTATTTTTTTTTTTTTAAGTCAAGTTTTTGGTAAGTAATTAGGTACATGCTTGTAATAATTCTGCACATGAAGAGATACCTGGTGTTGTGATGGGAAACTCCATCTTCCACACAGCAAACACTTGTCTTCTGATCTCCCACGTCTACTATACATGCACTGCCTAAACCACTTCCAAATGTAGCACAGACAGACTCCTGGTGCACCACAATTCCTAGCAACACGAGGAAAAAAGATTATATTCAATTTATACCACGCTCCAGAGCTACGTTTCTGACACTCAAAGGACATCTTACTGTCTTTTAAAACCTGCTAATAGCTTTGACTCCACTGGAATATTCTATATTAAATGAAGATGGGTTGTACGGGCCCTTGGAGTCCTGAGAAAAGCTACTAGAAAAATGGATGCCTGTATTTGTGCATTCCTATCTTATGAGATTTATGATACTGTTGCCAGTTTATTTTTGTACCTTGTATTCAAGCTCTTTGTTTCCAGATGCATGTGAAACATTTTCCTATTTTTCTTTTCTTCCTAAGTTTTAATCATGTATCATTACAATTAGTATTTTAAATAGGATCTTTAAATAGTTACAAAACAAGGTCCAATTTCACCCTCTGTTTTCCTTTCAATTCACTCTTATCTTCGTAAAAGAGTACATTCGTATTTGTATCACAAGCACATACTTACAGTTCAGAAATAATAGATATTTCTGTCTCCTTCCAGCCAAAAAAATGAAAGAAAATAACAAAACTGTTTCTATGCTAGCCAACCATTTCTCCCCTTTAAAATAGGAAACAGTTATGTGAACATCAACAGGTTAAAGCTGAGAGTCTCAGTCAAGCTGCAACTGGCCTGTAAAAATGTTCCTTAAAGCAAAAAAACCAACCAACATCTTTATGCTATTAATCACTCAGTGCTTGCTTACATATGGTTTTACCTGAGAAGCCCATCTTCATTAGGATCATATTCACCAGTTCTTTCACATGTTGTTTATTGTATATGTCTGGAATTAGTAAAATGCACCTGTAGTACTGAAGGTAAGAATGAAAAATTAAAGTCAGCTCTGAAATTAACTACCTCTTTACGTGACTGAATACTTGTTTTGAAGAAAGAAAGGATCACATACAAGATGCTAAAAGACACAACATTATTTTTAATAATTTTAAAAATTATTTAGAGTGAGTAGCAAGTTAACAGCTGCTAGGTCATTAATGAAGTCCTAGGAACCACATGCACCACTGCTAAGATTTATCTGTTAAGACAAGCACCAGTAAGAGGCTACCAATGCAAGAAGGCTGCTTCATGTTCATAACAGCATTTACAGAATAGGATAGAGCCCTCATAAACTTGTTCACAGCTCACCTTTAAATCTTTCAGTGGTATTTCCAGGTACTTTTGTATTGCATGTGACCATATAACTTCAAGATCTGCTAATACTGCAGTGAGGGAGCCGCCGGGTCCTGTGTGGAGATTCAGCTGCCCTCTTCTAATAGGCCAATGTATATTATAAGAATCTAATGGATTAACATATAGTGCCTGAAAATAAGAAATGACGTTATTTCCCCCTCAATTTTAATAATAAATAATGGAAAAATATTTCAGAAACTAACAGAACTTGCTGTACAGCAGCACTAGACCAATGTGATGGCAGTATGATGGCTTTCTTTTTAGCAGGGCTGTATTAAGACATTCTGTACATGGTTTTAATTGTTTGAATTTTCATATCCATGGATATAGAAGCATGGAATGACTTAGACTGGAAAAGACCTCCTAGATCAATAGGTACATAAAAGTGTCTTTTTTTGTTATCTCATTAATAGCTAAATTAATGTAAAAACTCTTGAAAGCTCATGAATATCTAATTAGCAGCAATTCCATGCACTGATCCTTTTTTCTCACTTTCCTTCCATGTATCTGATTTATACCACAAAGGTATAGTTCTCACCTGCAGTAATGGCCACTTACAGCAACAATGAATCTACCCCACTGCTTCCACTATTAGAATAAAGTCTTAAGAATATTCAGACATATCTTTTACTTATCCTTGAAAATTATACTGCGTGAATCTTTGAAAGAGATACAGTTTTCCCTGCTGTTTGAAATGTCTGGTCTAGTACTAGATGTGGAGGTTGGTGGCCCTGCCTGTGCCAGGGGGGGTTTGAAGATTCACAATCCTTGAGGTCTCTTCCAACCCAGGCCATTCTGTGATTCTGTGAAATATATATATAATTCTAGCTAGGCAAGTGAGGAAAACTGTCTGGTCTTCTTGAATGATAACATTCAGTTAGTCCCAAGTAGTAGTAGTAGTAACCCTGCTCAGGTTCCGTTTGATTAAACTTAGTCTAAATTGAGTCCAAATTGCTCTTCAATACACAGCTATATTGAAGGATAACACTAAGCCTAATTTCAGGTAGGAAATGATTCTTACCTCTTCTCCTACCAAAAACTCAGGATGATTAGAGGTGTTTGTCCACTTGGCCCCAGAGCTGTGATCTAAAATAGCTGGCCGCATCTGTCTGTTGTATGACCTGGCCTGAAACGCAATCAAATCAAACACTGTTTTTATCAGACACTTTTTATGCATGAAAGCAACAAACAAAACAAACCCCCAACAATCCACGCTGAAAATCCATCTTAAAGCTTCATTTTCTTAGATCTTTGGAGGTAAGGGACACAATAACACTATTCATATATACTTTATACAGAATACCTTTTCTTATGCATTGAAACATAGCATTACACCGCATGAGAACACAATTATTTACAGTTTCAAGAGGAGTTACCTGGTCAGGTGACACCGGGATACGTCTGGCACCATTTGACATCTTTTTGGACCATATTGCTTGGTCCACCATTTTTAGGCCATTTTGTCTCTGCTCTGTACTTTCAGGTTTCTAAGCAACAGAAACAGCACATATCACAAACACTTGCTGCGCAGCCTGAAAACCGGTAACACTGAATTAAATTAGACTGCGAACTCATTGCTGAGGTTACTAAACTGCGGGACGGAGAGAAGGTTTGTGCATCGGAGATCCCAGCAGCTCCGTGCCAAAGCCATCACGACACACGGGCGCCACGCACAACCAATTATTTCCTCCCCCCCCCAACGCGAACAGCGCTCGGCCGGCCGGGGCGCCGCGGAGCCGCTCACATTGAGGCCGTCCCGCAGCAGCCAGCTGTCCCGGTACGCCGCCTGGCCCTGCTGCTTGTGCCGCCGCGCGATGACGTGGGGGATGCCCACGGGCAGCGTGTCCGTGGCCCTCCCGATGCGCAGGGTCGTGGAGCCGGGGTGGATCACCACGATGAAGTTGCTCTGGATTTGCTGCAAGCACAAAACGCGGGCGGTGGGCGGCCGCCCCGCGGCACTGCCCTCCCGTCCCCGGCCGGGCCTTTAAAAGGGGCCGGCGCGGCCTCACCTCCTGCAGGGACTCGGGCACGGCGGCGGGGACGATGGGCCGCTTGCCGCCGCGCTGCTCTCGCTCGCGCTCCTTGTCCTTGCCGTTCTCCGTCTCGCCTTTCTCCGCCTGGGTCATTTTCCCGGCCCGCCTGGCGCCTACGAGCCGGGCCCGGCGGCGGAGCGGGGCGGAACGGGCGGGAGCACGGGAGGCACCGCCCCCCGGACAGCTCGGGTGGAACCGCGGGGCGGGCGGAGCGTCTGTGCGAGCGGCAGGCGGAAGCCGACACGTTCACGGATCCGCCGCTAACAAAGGGGCGTTGCTGGATGCGATAGTTAGCGGCTGGAGGCTGTTAGAAAACCTAAGTGCAAAACTGAAAGCGGCACCTCGTAGGAGTTACCTCCGTCTGCGTGGCGGAACCGGCCCGCTCCCATCGACCGAACAGACCCCGGAACAGCGATTAAAAGTCCCAGCCCAAGCAGAAAAGCAGTGGCTGTTGGGAAGAAAATAACTTGTGTGTTAGTGCTCAGTGTTACCGAGCTGCTTTTCTTCTTGTAATGAAAATGAAACCTCATTGTATTGGAAGTGTCCTATTAGTGTTTGCACAGAACATGCGTATATGTTGAGAAGAGAAGGAAGTTGTTTCATGAGTGCTTATAAAACAGGTATGTCATAGAACCCACACTCGGGCTTTAAGGAAGTGTCTTTTAAAATGGAAGGACTGTTAAAAAATAAAAAAAAACTACTTAAACTGCATTTTAGAAGTGTTTTTAGCACATCATTAATATTATAAAAACATGGCAAGGACCAGAAAAGGTTCCTTAAAACCTTTAAGGAAGCACTACTTTAAGTGATTTTTGAGTGATCTTCTGTGTTCATGTGTAAGTATTACATATTTTCCCTCATTTGATCAGGAAAGTGTTCACTGTGCTTTGGGTAGAACTTTTAGGTTGTTTAAAAATTAAGAGTCCACCTTCTGACAAGCCATATATAATTTATTTTGCAACTACAGTAAAATGTTCAGAAACTATACAAAGACTTTAGACAGACAGTAAACATGTATTTAATAACACTGCACTTCAGTTACACTGGATCCTTGAAGGAGTTCCCAGTACAACTTCATTTATCTGCTTAGATTGCAGAACAGTTCTCAGTTAGACACGCACATTCACAACGTCCAAACTCATTTGGTCCACCACTGAACTCTCTTCCCTTTCTTCTTGTAAACATGCATGCTCCTTTGCCTGCCTCTTTACAGCAGGCATTTACCTAGAAAGACAAAATAATTGCATCGCGTTTAAGAACAACCAGGTCTTCCTTTGCAAGATATAAGTAACCATCTTAATATAAAACTGATTTTAATTTAGCTAAATGAGACCTGCCAAAAGCTTGGAACTTCTCATGCTGAGCAGATTACGCACTGTCATTATCCCCCAAAAGCTCTCCCCACTGTTTCTGCTGGCTTCATGGCCAGTTCAAAAAGAAAAAAACTAATCCACATGAAAAAAGAAAAAAAATCATGAAGAGGCATTTATTCCTTTTTTTTTCTGAGGAGACCGAAATATAAGTGTGCAATGGTTGGTTTTGAGTATGAAGTTTTTGCCACAAGACTCACTGGTATTATCATCTGCATGTGTATTTTCCTTTTAATTTTAATAATAATAATTTAATAAATCCTTTTGTTTTCATAATGAATAATAATTCATGAAACATTCAGTGTTAGAGAAAAATCCCATCATCTTAACAAAACAGAATTCATATTTTGAATTACAATTATCAGGCAGTAGCAAGAAATGTAATGCTAGGATAGGGCTTTTGAAAGGGCCTATGAAATTTTTAAGCAATTCTGATTTGTGCTATATTACAATTCGAAATGTGCACAGCTACAGCACTGTCAGTGGAAAATGTATTTTAGTAGTAGTTTTTTTGTTTGTTTGTTTGTTTTAACAACTTTTCCTTTTTTCCGTTGCTAGGAATCCCCATTAAACAAAAAATATCATCTGTAATACGATGACAATTAGAAAAAACAAAGTTTCAGTTACTACTGATCTGGATGGGACTTAATATTAGCAACCAAAAAAGACTGAGTGCTAAATCATTTTTTATCAGCTGTGTTCAAATATCTGTTCTATGCTTTGTATACTAATTTATATGTAATCACAACTATCACTATCATCTACATAACAACTATCATCACTTCTGTGCCAAAACTTTATACTACACTACTTCACACACACTTCTTTTCCCCTGTTAATGAAAGTATCTATCCACTTCTATTCCTCCTGTTTTGGTAACTTTTGTAAAAGTAGGTGCAGCAGAAATGCTAAATCATGGCTTTAAACAGTGATTGAGCACCTGGAGGGAAGGCAGGACCAACCCAGGGGAGCTCAGGTGTATGCAATGTAATTTAAGGGTGTATGCAACCTCATTTAAAGGTTGGCAGTAGAGGCAAGAGTATCGAGCTGGAGATCCCTACTTACCAGAGACCTTCCAAGTGTAAGCAGATTTTTTTTTCCTTGATTCTATGTGCACAGTTGTTGTATGAGTGTACCCTAACTTACTGCAGTCTAGGACTTTGCTACTCTGCTATAATTGCTGTATTTTCCATTGCATTACGGTAGGATAATGCACTTAATTCTACCTTAAGCTCTATTATCACTGTTATCTCTTGGAGTTAAAAAATAAAAACATTAAAAAAAAAAAAAACTAAACCAGGATAGAGGAGATAGGGAATTACCTTCCTCATCCACCTCCAGCCATTGGTGGTGGACTAGGGCCTCCACCCCAGTGATTTATTCTGCCCATTCTACGGCGAGGATTTCCTGGAGGCCTATAAGAAAAAAAAAAAAAAAAAAAAGCAAGAAAAACAAAATCTATTTAATAGGCATTCAGTTAATTTAGAAATATAAAAACACTATATCTAAACTATAGCAATTTGATTGATAAAGTCTTTAGAAAGTTGTTTGGTTTGATGTGAAAATTTGTAGCTGCTACTAACGCTTTCACACAGTTTTGTAAAAAGGTAAGGCTGTCCACCAGGAACAAAGAAACACAGTAGCTATAGTGTCTAGAGAAACTATATCCACATAATAAAGTGTTTTGTCTAAAATATATAGACAAATTTAACTCAAAGTGACTTTTTCATGCGAATCTAACACTTAATGTAAGCGAGGCTAACAAAACAAGAATTTTAAAGACAAACATTGTTTATTATGCAGCCCTAAAAAGTCATATCAAACTATACTGCTGTTACAGCTATTCAGAACTATGTATTTTTATCAACAAGTTGCATATAAAATGCTGCAGAAAAATACTAAACATTTTAGTCCTCTGATATGATCTGACTTGATGCAAATTGTGACTATGATCGTGATCGCATTATGACATTTTTCTGGGGCAGTGAAAAAAGACAAACAGAACTACTGAGAATATAAAAAATACCCTCTTCCATCGCTCTGACTTAAGTAGGAGGAAGATGTGTAGCCTCTTCTCCTCAAATCTGGTTGAATAATGCTCTGGAAGCTGAAAAACAAATCAGGAATAGTTATGTTCATTGGACAGCTAAACATAGCTTCTAGATCTTGGCACTGCAAGGTAAGAGGTGGGCTAAAAAACCAGTAGTGTTAGAAATGAATAGTACCTTGTCAAGATTACTCTTGTTTAATCTTTGCAATTTTTCTTCTACACAGAGTTATAAAACTGCAACACGATTCCAAGTAACAATACAGCTCAAATAAACCAAATTGTCAAATATTTAAAACTGAACATCATTCTCGTACTAAATAAAGTGCAAGCAATATAACTGTAACTAAAATAATGACTGCTGAAGACATCAAAAGAACTCTGATTCTTCATTGGCTTCAGTCTGGAGCACACATATTACTGTTATGTGAGTACTGTTATGCAGCAAGAACTATTGTTGGTAGTAGAAATCCACCAAATAATACTTCAGTTTGATCAGCTGTTAGGAACTTAACAAAAACACATGCAATTTTTCTTTATGCGATACTGAAATGGAAGAACTGCCAGTTCTTTAGTATCAGCTTTCATATACTTTGTATTAAATATGTGCATCAAGTGCTTCATAATCAAGACCGTGTAACCATATTAAAACATTGATAGATGTCTTCCAGACCCTTGTCAGCAGTAGAACAATGGGCACGAAGAGGAACGTAGGAAGCTTCATACTAATGCAAGGAAGAACTTCTTTACTGGGGGAGTGATCAAGCACAGGAACAGGTGGCCCAGAGAAGCTGTGGATTCTCTGTTGAAGATATTCCAAACCTGTGCAACCTGCTGTAGGGAACCTGCTTTAGCAGAAGGGTTGGACTTGAGGGGTTCCAGAAGTCCGTTCCAGCCCCTACAGCTCTGATTGTGTGAATAGTACTTATGGAATGTTAAGAATAAATCCAGCATTTTTGTGGTACTGCATTACTAATAGTACTTATCAGCATCAACACGTGACAAGTTTAAAATAAAGTTCATCAAAAGAATAGTTTTTTTGTTTTGTTTTGTTTTTTGTTTTTTTTTTTTTTTACTTACAACATAACTACAAAGTCTGCTATCGACCAGAAGAAATCTGTTATGGACGACAAGCTCCAAGGAGCCCGGCTCCGGTTATCCAGAACTTGTCCTGTTACGGGGCAAGACAGGAAACATTCAGCACTGTTTACTGAATTACATCAGTGTATAATTTGAAACTAGACAGGACGTAGGACTACACCCCGTGCCTAAAGGTTCACCCAAGGGAGTACGAGCACGCAGCGCTTGGAACGGTTGGAGCGGAGCGTCAGACGCTGCATCCGGGCACAAGTGTGCACAGGAACACGCGCGGGGCCGGGGGAGGCAATGCGGGGACAAGGCGTTGTAGAGCTGGAGGTGCAGGATGGGGTCCCGCCGCAGCTCCGGCCTGCACCGCTCGCCCCCCCGACCCCCACGAGAAGCCGCTGCCTCGAGGCCGGACCACAAAGCCACCCCACAGCAGCCACCGCCTGCAACGCTACCGCCCTCACATCGCCCTTCCCGACAGCCGCCGCTCACCGTTAGAGATGTACACCATCGCGGCGCGCTCCCACCGCTGCCCTGTCACCTGCCCCTCCCTACAGAGCATGCGCGTCCCGCCCGCGCATGCCCAGAACGGGCGGCGCGCAGCCGTATTGCCGGCTCCGCGCTTCCAGCTGACGGGGCCGAAGGGGACGGGGTGGGCGGTGCGGCGGCGCTGGGCGGGACTCGTCTCCCTGGTGCTGCAGCGCGCAGCCCGCCTTTGGGGCGGTCCTTCAGTCGCCTCGTGGCGGGCCGGAGCCCGGGCGTTATTCGTCACAGAGATATCTTCTGTTAGCGATGGAAAGCAACTGTGAAAGAAAAGCACCTGTAGAAACGTGCATAAAAGAAAAGATTTGTGCCTGAGACCACTTAGCTAATCTCCAACAAATGGAGAAAAACGGAAGGGTTTAGAAAATAGTGGGTGCTTTGTAGCTAAATGCAAGCTGCGTGTTGAAATTCTTCAGGGACAGCATCCAATCCTTTTCTTAATTAGGTATGCTTACAACATACATATTTTTTCAAATAATAGCAAATTTTCAGCTTAGAAACTGCAGAACAAAGTAAGAAGGTGTAGAAAAGCAGCAGAAATTCAGCCGCTTCAGCATCGTTTTTCTGTCGGAGTGAATCCAGATAAATGGAAACACACAAAGCATGAAAAATGTGTTGGTGC